TTATGGTTAATCTTGATGAAAGTTACATGTATCGTCGAGAACATGGTTACATGCAGAATTTTAAATTAATTAATATTCTTCTCCATATAAAATGTACGAGTATGGCTTTATTAAATGTAAACTTATGCGAAAACCTAAATATTTCGTCAACCAAGGGTTAATTTTGGTGGCGTCGTGGCAATTCGCAGAAATTTAATAATTTGTCTATGGTTGCAGGACGGCGAGGGGAAGACGAAAGCAGACCAATCGTACATATGTATGCACATATTTACATTTATAAATGGATACATATTTATGCGTTTGTCTTTTGGGATAAATGAAGAATTTCATATATGTAGTGATTTAGAGATTAAAATTCGAATAATGTACTGTGGCGCGTATGCTAGAGGCGATGCAACTTTTGCCGTCTCGCCGTTTGTCTTGGTTCAAATCCCGGACAAACCAAGTAATAATTTTTTTTTGTTTTTTTTTTTTTAATTGTCATATCCATATTCCATTTTAAATTTTACTATTTGCTTTTTTAAAATAATATAAATGGACTAAAATATTAGTTATTGGAATTAAAATTTTATGCGAATCCAATTTTTATTCCCATTTTTAGAATGCGCAAGTAGATGTGTATATGTTCATGCCACAAAAATTATTTCATAAGCAGGTAATTTTAAACATACATACCTATGTATGAACACTGGCAATCAAAAGTGAGTGTATGCTGTTTTTTGTTTAATAATTGCAATGTTTTTTAAGTTAATTTTTTTTTGTTATTTTCGACGGGCTTTGCGGTTTTATGCATATAACAAGTGCAACATAAAAAATAGCGCTAATTTTTTTTAACTTTGTTTGCAAACGGTCATGTGCATTTTATTCTACAAGAAATTCACTTTTATTTGGTAAAAAGTGCAAAAAGCCGTCAGCAATAAAAATTCATCAAAAATCAACCCGATTTTTTAGCCGCTTAAAACTTGATCTTGCTCCACTAGAATTAAAAAAACCGATCTATCTGCGTACTCAAAATTTTTCTAAAAACTCAGATTAAACAGGTCAAAATTTAGACGATAATTCGTTGAATTTTTCTATGTTCTATGTAAAGTTTGAAAGTTTGATTTATGTAGTTTTAATTAAAGCATAAACCACATTTTTGTAAAAAAAATAACACAAATATTTTAACATGAAAAACATTGCAAATATTAAACAAAAAACACAATGCACTCACTTTTGATTGCCAGTGTACATACATGTACATATGTATGTATGTGTGTAAATTTTATGCAAAACTATAATTTTATTAAATTGTATTTGCATCTTCATAAAAGGAGAACAAGATAAAAAATTTAACAAAAATTACAAATTAATGAAAATTATGTGAAGATTTACCATATTTTCGTTTATTTGCTCACAAAGAACATCACATTTCATGTTGCTCAACATTGTATTATGTTATCAACATTAAATTCAACAGAATTTTTACATTCCGACTTGAACTTTTCTAACGCTGTTAATTTTCCGTCCGCGAATAGTTTCCACTTTCAGTTTGCACCTTCTCTATCTATCTAAGTTCTCTGGTACAACGAAGCCCGTTTGCTTCATCGTAAATATATCCACACAAACATATGTACATACATATGTACGAATGGGTGTAGTTACGCGGAGCACGCTTGCATCATTTATACTAGTGCTGCAAAACCATCGATAGTGGCTCCATCGATGGTTTTCGATAGTTTTGTAGACAACCATCGATAATATCGATGGTTTCAGTAGGGCGACCCGTTAAAGGGAAAGAGGGTACTCAAATAGTATTTTATTTAAACATAATAAATTAGACGGATATAAAAGTTCAAACAATACAACTTTTCATTCATGTTTAAACTAATAAAGCATTATAAAATTCAAAATAAAGCAAAGTTTATGTAAGAAAGTTCAAAACAAAACAGTGTATTCATTTATTTTTCTTACAACCAATAAAAAAATTTCGCGAGAACCAAAATTGGCTTTTCGCAGGTTAACGTAAGTGTAAAGGAACTTTATATTTATGAGATCATAGTAATATCAATATTTTTAATTTAACAGCCATTGATTTTTATTTAAAAATATTAGCATATTTAAATTCTTTGGTTTTAGCGACGATCGCCTGTCGCTGGCTATGTAGCCTGCCTTAATAAACGTACGCTCTGACTCTGTTGAGCTTGCAGGAATAATAAGGTACTTATTAGCGCATTCCTTTAAGAATTTAAACTTTGGTTCGGACATCTAAAAAAGACTTTTTAGCTATAATGTTCCGAAACAATAATGCCTTTTATAGTTACCTGCCAATATTCAAGAGGATCACTATACGTAGGTATATTTACATCCTCAAAATATTGTCTCATTTTCAAAATTGTGTCAACGCGTTGAGACTTTATTTTGTCTTCACGGTTTTTCTTTAAAAACCCGAACATATCTCGTTTTCCTAATTGTGTTGAGTCGGCAGTCTGTGGTAGCGTTGAAACCGAAGGATCAGTGAAGACAACTGGATTCGACAACTTCATTGCCGCAAGTTCATCCTGCAAGAGTTTTGCGGAAGCTTCTGCATTGGAAGCAGATCTAAATGCTTCTTTTTTGAAGCGAGCATCTAAGAGGGTGGCTTTTCTCACAGGGCTCCGGTTTTCATACGGCACAATTCTTTCCCTGAGGCGATCTAACAGAAAGTTCGCAATAACAGCTCCTTTTTCAGTTTTCAAATTTTTAATGGATCCTTTGATGTTACTCAAAAGGCCATAGATAATTGGCAAAATCAATGAGATCGTCACAGTATTTCCAGCTGATACTCTTTTTGTAGCATCGTCCATTTGGCAAAACAGATCATCAAGATCCTCCAAAAGCTCTATTTCATCGGCGTTAAGGATGCTAGGCGCTTTGTGTGTCTTTAGAATGACAGATGTAACTGCATCTTTAGTTGCAAGTATCCGACTTATCATTTTGTAAGCGCTATTCCATCGCGTTGTGACTTCCTGGATCAGGCGCAACGGATTTTCGCCTTGTGCTGCACGAAACTTTGCATATGCAATGGAACTGCTTTTGAAAAAAGCCACAATTTTCTTGCATTTTGAAATAAGTTCCTTTAAATTATCATGTGATAAAACGTCTTGCATAACTAAATTTAGGCTATGCGCAAAACAAGGAAGGTGACATTTTTCCAACAGTCTGCATGCCTTGACCATGCTCTGTGCATTATCAGTTACTATTGTGGTCACTTTATCAAAGATTTTCCATTCAGTCAGCACATGGCGTATAGAGCTCGCAAAATTCTCTCCCGAATGGTTGGTGTCATCATTTAAGGGGTTAGTTGACAGCACAGCAGTTTTTAATTTGCCGTCCACAATGAAGTGGCATGTGACTGTTAAGTAATTTATGTTGTTTTTTGATGTCCAGCCATCAGAAGTAATCGAGCAATAATTTATGTTATTTAACATAGTTTTGAGACTTTTCACGGCGTTGTCAAACATTTCAACAAGTAGGACGTTTTGGAAAGTTGTCCTGCTTGGCAACTTATATCTCGGTTCTAAAACTCCCAGTAGATTTCTAAAGCCAACGTCATCAACAACACGAGTAGGCTGCATATCCGTAACTATCATTGATATTACTGCATTGTCGATTAAATTTTTTCGAGGATTATTGTCTTCATAGTAATTAGATTCCTTGAAAAAGTCTTTAATTGTTGATTTTTTGCATTCTGTCCCAGCATAATTCGGATGCACGCGATTTAGGTGCTCCCTTAAATTGGAGGTGTTACCACTAGTCATGTAAATTTTCTTACAAATGCGGCATTTTGACGTAGTTTTACTTAGTTTGTCAAACCATTTCCACACATTCGAAGTACCATGTTTCGCCCCAGATTTTCCAACTTCGTTGCGCTCTTTATTTTCATCATTCTCGTTTGCATCTATACAAACACACAGAAACACATTTTAGCTAAGCCAATATAGAATAAATTGTATCTACAATTGATCTTACCATTGTCGTCCAACACTTCTAAAAACCTCTCCATTTTCAACACAACCACTGAAATGTGCACACACTGAAATATATCCTGAGTTAAAACGTATAATAAACGAAATATTTTAACATACCGTAAACTTTGCCTCAGTCTTTGCAAACATATGACGTAGTGGTGTGCAAAGTAAAATACCATCGATAGTGGCTAAAGAATTGGCCCCATCGATAACATCGATGGTACCATCGATAGTTTTGCAGCACTAATTTATACATATAGGCTGCATTTCTTTATTCATTCTGAACGTTTGGAATAAACTTTTTTGTTTACTTATTCTTTAGAACGTTCCTGATGATATGTTAACGTATATTTCAAACGCATTCTGTTTATTCCGGCTGTGAAATGGGATTATCCGGAATGTATAAAGAAACGCAGCCATATTGCTTGGTAGCGGCAGAGCTGAAATGCGCAATGAGTTCGTTCATACACACACATATATGTATACATATATATATGAGAGAAATAGAGATTGCGCCAAGAATGATAGAATATAAGATTGCGCC